TCTGATAATATTTAAATTGAATACTTTTGTTCTTGCGGGGTACACTGAACTTGTAACACATGGAGGGATTGGTTTATAATTTTTACACAGATTAATGAAATCAATTACTTAGACTTATTTAATTAAAATATCCAGGAAGTGCTTTTGAATTTTATTTTGGCTTTTCTTAGTTAATACCAGCAAATGGAAATAAATTTCTCATATTTCTTGCAAAGATTCATAAATGAATTATGTAAGTTTAGGTGTAGTTCTTTTTTTAGTTTTTCATCCTCTTTTGTCTTATTTTTATTTTAACTTGATGAGTATGTCTTTGATGGTTTATTTTGTCTTTCAAACAGGTCTGTATAATAAAATTTGATAGAATGTAATAGGTATTTATTTATTTATTACATCGATATCCGGCCTTTTAACTAAGATAGTATGCAAAGTAACTAACAATAAAATTCAGATAAAATAAAAACGTATACTTTTAAAAGTCACCAGTTAACCACACAGGAAAGGAAAACAAATTAGTGAGAAAGAACTAAGAGTACCCATGAGGCTAAAACCTGTTTCAGCATCAACTCAGTTCAAACACCTAAAGCCTTTCTGAGTAAAAATGTTTTTGCTCACCAGTAGAAGAGCACAGATAGCACTATCTTGGCCAATTTTGGCAAGGAAGTCCAGAGACATTAAGCATGGCCCTTTCATGCATTTTTGGCAGCTATGCCACCTCATTAAAGTAAGAACTTGTTGTGAGAACAAGAATGGTTAAGGAACCTCAGTTTGCCCAGCATTTGTTAAATTCGGGTTTTTGTTGTTGTTAGTCGCGAAGTCGTGTCCGACCCATTGTGACCCCATGGACAACATTCCTCCAGGCCTTCCTGTCCTCCACCATCCCCCGGAGTCCACTCAAGCTCACACCAACTGCTTCAGTGACTCCATCTAACCACCTCATCCTCTGCCGTCCCCTTCTTCTTTTGCCATTATTGTTCCCAGCATTAGACTCTTCTCCAGGGAGTCCTTCCTTCTCATTAGGTGACCAAAGTATTTGAGTTTCATCTTCAGGATCTGGCCTTCTAAAGAGCAGTCAGGGTTGATCTCCTCTAGGACTGACTGATTTGATCGCCTTGCTGTCCGAGGGACTCACAGGAATCTCTGCCAGCACCACAATTCAAAGGCCTCAATTCTTTGGTGCTCATCCTTCCTTATGGGCCAACTTTCACAGCCATACATTGCAACTGGGAAAACCATAGCCTTGACTATACACACTTTTGTTGGCAGGGTGATGTCTCTGCTTTTTAGTATGCTGTCTAGATTTGTCATAGCTTTCCTCCCCAGGAGTAAGTGTCTTTTAATTTCTTGACTGCAGTCCCCATCTGCGGTGATCTTGGAGCCCAGGAAAATAAAATCTGTCACTACCTCCATTTCTTCCCCATCTATTTGCCAGGAAGTGAGAGGACTGGTTGCCATGATCTTAGTTTTCTTAATGTTGAGTTTCAAGTCAACTTTTGCACTCTCCTCCTTCACCCGCATCAAGAGACTCTTTAGTTGCTCTTCACTTTCTGCCATTAGAGTGGTATCATCTGCTTATCTGAGGTTGTTGATATTTCTCCCAGCAATCTTAATTCCAACTGGTGATTCATCTAGCCCCGCCTTTGAGTTTAACATATTTTTAAAAAGAGTGTAGAATTGGAAAAGATGCAGAGAGGGACAGTCAAATGATCAAGTGGCTTGAGCAATTCTTTTAGGAGTGGCTGGAACAACTGGGACTGTTTATCTTAGAAAGAAGGCCAGTAAGGGGGAATTTCTGCACAAAATGGAGAAAATGGACTGGTGGAAGTGTCTCCTAATCTCTTACAACATTTAAACTCAGTGCCATCCCATAGACTTGATTGATGGGAGATTCAGGACAGATAAAAGAAAGTACAGTTTCCTGCTTGGCATAGTTAATTTTATGGAATTGACTACCATGTGGTGATGGCTACCATCTTGGCTGGCCTGAAGAATGGACAAATTCATGGAGAAGAAGGCTATCGTTGCTTACTAGTCCTGATGGCTACATGAGTATCAGAGGTGGCATGTCTGCGTGTCCTACTTGTTGGGGAACAAGCTTTACGTTCTACTCAGGAGCTTCTCCCGGGGGCCTGGTTGGCCACTGTGTGAACAAATTGCTGAACTTGACAGCATAGTGATCTGATTCAGTATGGCTCTACATCCTTCGCTATTTCCTTGAATTGCACATCAGCTTATGGCTTATACTCAGATTGCACAATTCATACCACACTTGTCAAGCTGGAGTCCAGTGGATTTGTGTGCGGTTTCATTCAGTAAAAAGGCCTTGTGCAAGAGCCTTGGGCAACCAAAGGACCTTCCACTGAAGCAACCCGATTTGCACCAGCTCGCTAAGCAAAATGTTCATGAAATCACTGGCGTTGCTCTAGCAACATTCTTATCAAGTGGTTTAATTTTGGTTGCATAATCCTTACTCATTGTTCCTCAGACATAATAGAAAGCACAGAGGCCGAAAGCACCTCCTAGGGGAAATGTCAGTCCAAAAGTGAAGAATAAGCAAGGGAGATTTTTGAAAAGTCAGTTCTAAGAAGAAGGTGCTTTGTCCTGACAGCTTATGCTGGATGAGCCTGAAGGTCTGAAATACCATTTTAAACAAATGAACCTAAGAAGGTTTGCTTCACACAGAAATGCAGGTGAAAATCTAATAGAGAAATAAACCGTGTTTTATTCTAGGATTTTTATTATCTGAAAGTATGGTAGGCAGCAAAGCAGAACAAAAAAGAGATGGTTAGTATATTTTTTGCAGAGATTTAACATTGCTTCAGGGCTTACGGCATCAGTCCAGGTGTGAGGTGCCCACCTGTCCAAATGGCACCATATGTGAGGCTATCATAATTTCTTTTATAAGCTGTGTTCCTCACAGAAAAATTATATATTTTCACTGTGGTTGTTGTGAAAATGAAATCCCATTTAATTTGTCAGTAGGTGGCATCAGTTAGCTAGGGAGAGGAGAGAGAGAGAGAGATTGTGGACAGTTTGCTGTCATGCAAATACCTACATGAAGGGCAAATCTTTGATAATCCTGACCTATTGAGCTCATGACAGGAGTGGGCTGCAGAAAAATGGGATGTTGAAATAGATATGGGCCCCAGAAACTTAAGTGAAAGAGAATTGAATTCCTGTGAAATGAATCAATAATTGTCAGCATATTATGCACTGTTCTTCAGTAGTGTGTTTGTTTTCAGCACCTTTGCTTTTAAATTTTTACAAGTATTCAAACAAAACTCGCAGCATAATATAATATTTAACTCATGTTAAATGAACTTCTTTTTTTGCCATTCCTCAAATGCTGTAGGTTCGATAGCCGTGGAAAAATAATATGGGGTGCTTTTTTTAAAGTTTTGTTTATTAAATAGTTGAGTTCAATGGTCACTGCTGTAACCAATGGTTACAACAATAAAAATACATATCTACACACAAAGGTAGAGTATTTTTAGTAAATCAGATCACTCTTTAAATCATCTGAAAAATTCCTGATAAAAATGGATTTTGCATGCAGTTTAACCTTATTTTCATAGGAAATTTTCTCATAAAACCCGCCTCACTTGACTACGGCCAACAGCTTGTGCAGTGGAACATCATCCCTCTGTGTACACCCTGGGGCATCTCTGGGGGGTCTGCCAACCCTCTGGAGCAGATTTGCCAGTCTTGTAGGGTGCCACTTGTCTCTGTGCTCTGGACATTTAGTGGCTGGACCCCACTGCCTTCAGGGGACATATAATTCCACTTCAAAGGAGACCACAAAAATCATTGCATGACTAAAGTATATTTTATTTTATTTTTATTTATTTAATTTTTCTGCCACCCAATGTAATAATGTGTAACCCAAGCACATCACTTTATTTAAACGCTATTTTAACTGTTAAGGTTGATTTGTTGATTTTAAACTGACCAGGCTGTTTCCAATATTTTATTTTATTTTATTTTATGTATTTTATTTATTCGATGAATTTTTTTGTATTTATATGTGGGATTTTGTGATTGTAAGCCGCCCCGAGGCTTCTGTGATGGGGGCAGCATATTTATTTATATAAAACATTTCTATGCCGCCCCCATCGCAACGAAGTCTCGGGGCGGCTCACAACAGCATATAAGCTGTCTAAATAAATAAATAAATAAATAAAATGAACAGTTGATAGTTAAAGAATGCAAAGAAGGTCTTTGTCATCGTCATCACCATCATGATCATCATCATCAATTACATTTCTACACCACCTGTGGCTAAAGCACTCTGGTTGATTCACAATAAGGTGTAAAATCAATAAATTGCAACGGATAGAATACTTAACAAGAATTTTAAATAATTTAAAATAGCATAGAACATCCTGCAGTAACAAGACAATTAAAAAGACCCAGGCGAGAGTAGAACGTGCCTGGCTAATCTTGTCAGGCCCCTGAATGACCAGGGAGGTCTTTCAAGGCCTCTGCAAAGAGAGCTGTTTTGACCTGGCACAGAAAAGATGCCAAATTTGGTGTCAGGCAGGCCACAGCAGGCTATTCCAAAGATGGGGGGGCCACCACAGAAAAGACCCTCCCCCTAGTTTCCACCTTCTGAGCCTCTTGGGGGGTTGGCACCCAGAGGAAGGCCCAAGAGGCTGAGCATAGTGTCCAGGTAGGTTGGGCTGGGAGGGGCACTCCAAAATGTATTGCAATCTCAAGCTATGCAGGTTTTAGATTTATGTTGAGGGGAAGGCAGGGAAGGGACAAGAGTGGCCTTCTTCAACCAGATTTCCTCCAGACCTGTTGGGCTTCGAATCCCAGCATCCCCAGCCCTGGCATGTCTGGCTAGCAGCAGTTGAGAGCTGTAGTTCAATACCTGATTGCCCTTAATACGTTACATCTTTTGTTATATCTATATGTTTTCCCCAGTACTTTCAAGCATGTTCTTTCTTTGGAAACTCTGAAGTGACTAATAATTATCTTCTCTCTCCCGCCCCCCACCCCAGCCCACCTTACAGAAGAATTTTATAACGTGTAGCTGATGCCAAGGCTAGCTTAAAAGCATCCAAGATGACGACGACAGTAGCAACAGACTATGACAATATTGAAATCCAACAGCAATACAGTGACGTGAACAACCGCTGGGATGTTGATGATTGGGACAATGAGAACAGTTCCGCACGGCTCTTTGAGAGGTCTCGCATTAAAGCCTTAGCAGGTAGGAATTTCACTCTCGTTACCACTGCTGTGATTATCCAGTCCTGCTCTGTAGACTTTGTGCAACGGTACATAGGTATTGAATGTTAGCATTGTGCATGCCAAATCCGGGGACAGTTTTCCGAAAACAGAATTGATATTCCTTTATCGGGAATGCTTTTTAACAAGGAACTCAGTAGAATAGGAATAGTGCCTCTGGTCTGTTAGTGAAGGAAATCACCCTGTGTTGAAGCAGTCATTGCCCCAAGCCATGGTTTGTAGCCAGCCGACGAATTTGGATTTGAGGCAAGTGGCATGGGGTCCTCTTTGGTTTTGGACCCAGGGGTGCATCTGGGAATTTGAGGAACTGCTGTGGACATCACCACAAAGTGCCTCCCTTTGGAGGACGCGGAGTGTCACACAGGACCAGGCAAAAGGGAGGGTGCAGGATGGAAACCGTGTGGCTGGAGGAGAGGGGAAAGAACAAGGCAAGAGGATAGGAAGGGGGAGAAACTGCAAGATAAAGGGTAGGGAGTGAGATATTGATGCTAAAGGCAGGAAGGGAGTGAGAAACGGCAGGCCAGAGCAGTAGAGAAAGAACACATCCAGATGCTAGAAGGAGAGAAACTGTGAGCTAATGAGCACAGTGAAACAGCACTCCTAGAGGCGGAGAAGTTAGAGGGGTCGATGGGAGAGAAAAAGCAAATGATAGGTTAGAAAGGGAGGGAAAGAAGAGTGCCCAAACATTTTCCAAAGGTTTTCTTAAAACTTGTTTGAGGGGGACAAGGACAGGGGAGCTTCATGGGCACTTGGGGAGGTCTGTGCAGGTGCCTCAGCATCTGCGGGCAACAAGTTGGGGACCCCAAAATGGTAAGCTATGTGTTAATGCAACACAGGTATGCATTAGTTGTCCCTTTTTCTACTTTTATTCAACTTTGATACATGTGATTGCTATCTGTCTTTCTCTCTCTCTCTCTCTCTCTCTCTATTTAGAAAGCTTCTATGCCGCCCCATTCGCCGAAGCCTCGGGGCGGCTCACAACAATAAATAAATAATAACAATATAAAAACAATATAATTGGAGACGTCCTGGCCAGGGATGTAAAATAAATAAATAATATTAGCAATTAAAATGATGTTTAAATAAAAAGGTCTTGGCCTGGCACCGAAAAACAAATAACGACGGCGCCAGGCGGACCTCTCTGGGGAGCGCATTCCATATATTGGGCGCCACTGTAGAGAAAGCCCTCCGAGTACTTACCCTCCTAATATCCTTCATGGAGGGTTCCCAGAGAAGGGCCTCTCCCGCTGATTAAAAATAATACCATCAATAGGTGTGATTACACAGCTTAGAAAAGTCATGATGGATGAAACCATAGCCATACAAAGTCAAGGGCTGTAACTGATTGGGAATGGGAATGTTCCACCTCGACAAATGTGTTGCTGATTTAGTTGGGAAATCTCAGCATGAAATTAAGTAAGCCCAGCTGCTAATCAGGTTTAAAGGTAGCATTCGGCCAGTGGGGACACCATCAGAGTCAACATTCCTTCTGAAGATTCATTTCTGTCTTCTTCTGGTTTCTTTGATTGGTTTGTCTGTTACAGCCTCTCTTGGACAGGAATAGCTTGGCCACAGTGTTACAGACACTAGTAAACTCAGAACAGGACTACTGCAATGCACTCTCTGTAGAGCTGCCCTTAAGGTGGCTTCAGAAGCTGGAGCTAGTGCAGAAGAAAGCAACTTGGCTGTCACTGGGAGCTACTCATTTGCAGGATGCAACTCCATTGTGGAAAGTACTGCAGTGAATGTCTGTTTGTTACTGGGCCAGGTTGAAGGTTCTTGGATTGGTGTACAAAGCCCTGAGTAAGTTGGGAGCGGGCTGTGCAAGGGAGTCCTGACTGGAGGATATTCTCCTGGTTGTCTCACCAATGGATCAATGGCCCAGCTGGAGTCCATTGGCCCCGTTTCTATGGAATTCCCTGCTTTTGGAGGTCAGGCAGGTATCACCAGCTGAAAACCTCTCTGTTCTAAGCAGCTGTTCTTGCTGATTAGCCACAGTTGTAATATTTTTAATATATTCTTTATATTTGTTTCTTTGATTTAGCCTTTTTTACTGTCCACTGCTCCAGAATCTGCCTAGATAAGAAGTAGTACGTGCATGCTATTAATTAATTGCAACTCTATGCATGTTTGAACAGGAAACCTCCATGCTGACTGGGGCATGGTGGGAATTGTAGCACTTTCTTCTGTCTCAACATGCATAGGTTTGTGCCCTATGCCTTATGTAGGCATTTGTTCGGTTTTTTACTGTGTTCATACTATTGTAATTCAGCTTAATAAGCTGAGATGAGAGTGAGCCCTTTGGCTTGTGAATGCAGCAATTTTTCTTCACCTTCTCTGTAAACTGATAAAAATGAAGAAATTTTCAATCAATATTCTTTCCCTTTCATCCAAAGTGGGAAACTATTATTACCATCTACGGAACAAGTTGTGTTATTAAAATAGCTTCAAACTCTAGTTCAGTATCCTTGCTCTACAGCTGGCCAGTGGTTGGGGATGAGGGGCGTTGTAGGACGAGACATCTGGAGGGACCTAGGAGGCCGATTAGAGATTTAGCTTGACAGTGGGTGCTCTGGCCAAACAACTGTAGTGGCTCAGGGCTAAGAGTTTTGATCCAGGCTGTTGTCACACTAAGTTCTCATTGAAATCAGTGGGATTCGAATGAGTCACAGCTTTCTTTCCACGTTGATTTCAGTGGAACCTCAGTGTGACTGACTTGAGTACAGGATCACAGAATAGTAGAGATGGAAGTGGCCAGAGGGCCATCAGGTCCAACCCCTGCTCAGTGCAGGACCCTCAGTTAAACCATCCTGTTCAGACGGCTGTCCAGCTGCATCTTGAATGCCTCTAGTGTGGGAAAGCCCATGACCTCTGTAGGTCATTTGTTCCATTCTTGTACTGTTCTGATAGTCAGGAATTTTTTCCTGATATCTACTTGGAACCTGGCTTCCTGCAACTTGAGCCCATTATTCAATGTTCTGCATTCCGGGATGTTTGAGAAGAGATCCTGGCCTTCCTCTTTGAACTTGTAAAGTACTTTCAAGCCCTTGTAGAGTGCTATCATATTTGCCTGCAGTTTTGAGGCTAAGCATGCACAGTTCTTTCAATCAGTCCTCACAAGGCTTTGTTTCCTGTCCCCAGCTAATCCTTGTGGCCCTCCTCTGAACCCCTTCCAGCTTGTCTGCATCTTTCTTAAACTGTGGTGCCCAGAACTGGATGCAGCCCTCCAGATTAAGCCTAACCATTTCTGAGTAAAAGGGAACTAGTACTTCACAGGATTTGGAAGCAATACTTCCGTTAACGCAACCTAAAACAGCATTTTGGATCCACCCCATGTCAACAAGCAGTCTTAACAAGTGATTCTTCCCATGACAACCTATGGTATGCATATGTTCCATACAGTGCATATATGCACAGAGTTATAGAGGTGAATAAACGTGGGGATGGAATCCTGAGAAGATGGTTCAGATATGGGGTACAGGAATGAGCATGGAAGGAGACTCAGAAATAGGTGTCACCCCTAAGCCCATAGGAAAATCCTGGCTTGCCAAATATCAGGTCAACTTGCCTAAAACAGTTTATATAGGACTCCTAGCCAATCTAAATTCTAGGGCATAGGAAGGCCTATAAGCCACAAAAGCTTGGCCAACTCGAGATCTGTCTCTGGTCCTGTAGGGGGCAGCACTTCCCTTCTACTGCAGTCGCCAAACTTCATGAAACCAGTTGGAACGGTAGCACTACAAAAGTGACAGACTCATGGGCACTTGTTTCCACTGGAGTTAAAATTTATCACAGGATCAATAGCCCAGGTGCGTTGCTGTGAGCATGTGTCCCAGCTTCTGGCCTTGGGTTAAGGTGATGTTTTGTCTAGCTTTCTGCAGATGCACATCAAGAAAACTCTTTCAGACACATAAATCAGCTGTGGAGCATTGGTGTTCGCAAGCCCCTGTCTGTGAAGTCCGGTCAGTTCGCATCATTTGGATGCAGCTTACCCAGTTACCATGCCAACAAAATTCATTTCTTCATGCTATGGTAGCTGGAACACAAGGTAGCTTTCCCCCTGCATCATTATCCCTGATCTTGGCAGTTATGGCCCAGTTCTCAAATGGAAATATATATGCCCCAAAGCATTTAGACATATTCTTTAAGCACTGAAGAGGCTGGAATGCACTCAGCTGGATGTGTTCCTCAGAATAACAGAACCCTCTTGCAAATTCTCCTCTTGATTTATTAAGCTATTTCATCCCCGTCTGCAACAGGCTACATGTGATCCAAAGAAGTTTGTGTAATAGGAACACACGTCCGTGTATGTGTGTGAATTCCCCCTCTGCTGCTTTGGTGCGGTGCCCTGCATAGCCATGTCGACGCACTCTGTAAATGATTTCCTAAATCCCAAGGGAGCATGCCAGCATTCCTGACCTCTGAACAAAATGCCGCTATAATACACGGCATGATGCAGGGTGTGATTGCGCCGGCTCAGAAGGGTCTGGAGCTTCCCTGGTCAGCTTGCAAGTAGAGTCAGTGGAGAAGAGGGAGCGGTGCTGCCCGCTCGGGCCACCATACCTCACCTGCATAGGCATGGTTATTTGTCAAGGGAATTCGGCAGCTCTAGCAAGAGAGTGCAGGCAGAATTATTTTGTGGACTGAATAAGGGGGAAGTCACTGTCGTCAGGAGGTTGTGTGCAGTAGCAGGGACCTAACTGGGTAAGCTAACCAAGGCTCTGTGTGCTCAGGGCCAAGGACAGAACAGAGTAAATCAGCCCCTGGGATGAGCAGGCAGAATGTAGCCTATGATCGGCTGGGTCAGGTTGTCATCTCTGTGTCCCGTCCCGTTCGTACTCATCCAAGGAGCTCAGAAAGGACTGAATGGGTCTTCTGCCCCACCTTTCTTCAACTGTATGACAGCTAGATGATTTATAATATTTTTTCTGGTGGGCTCCAGAAGTGTATGATGGAAATCCA